CAGGAACCATTATATCCGTATTTTTGAGGCGTCTTTCAATAGCGGAATGCATGGCATCAGCCTCCATTTGAGTATGACCTACCTCAAGATATTTTTGAATCACTGTGATATTGAAATTCATTGCAAAATTTAGAAGAGCATTACTCAAAATAGTATTTCTATTTTGGTAGGTGCATCCGTCGGTGTAAATAATTATAACTCTTTCAAAGTTTTCATCGGTATTGTGGAGGTTATTTATTTGAGGTAGTACCTTATTTTCAAAAAAATGAATCCATATAGTTGCAAATTCGTCGGAACTCACACCACCTTCTGTTTCATTCCACAGATAGCAATATCCATCTTTATTGCTGAGGTTGAAAAAGCACAAATTATGAGCTTAGTTCTATAATATAAACTGCTGACATTAGATTTTGGGGCCATCAGAACACCCTGCAGATCTGCAGTGAATACAAATAAATGTTGATTTTTGTCACGTTCTTTTTCGACCCGTGCTTCGTTTTTACGCTGAACGTGTAAATTATATTCATCATCAGATAGCTTACCAAGTTCATAAATAGTACATTTTTCACAGAGATCTTTTTTAGGGGAAAATAGTGCTATGTTTTTTTCATCTAAAGCTTCATTAAAAATTGTGATCGATAAAGCAGTTGAATTTTGAGAAGAACACCAATCCTTAACGTAAAAATCGTATAAACTTTTTTTGGAGCGCCATTCAGGCAGAAGGTACTTTTTATCAGTATGCGCCCTACAGTAATGAGATTCAAGTGCGGGCAGTGAATCTATAAATTCAAATAATTTCATCCTGGCGCCTTTGAAAGGATGATTTTTATCTGCTGCATCTATGCGGACTTTGCTTGGTTCGCGTGTAGTGAATGAGTTTTTCCAAAACAGTACAGTCCATCTTCCAACACCAAGTGTATTCAGGAACATTTGTCTGCATACCCGTATCTGTTCTTCGTTTACTTGAAGATGATACTCGAATGATTGCGTCCTTCTGGATTTGTTTTGGTTTATTCTTTGACGGTGTCGTTTTGTGGGAATAGCCTTAACTAAGCTGTCAATGTAAACTTTTTTCTCACCCCACGTAAATTTCCAAAACTTATCAAACATTGCTTTTCTTTCAGTATCAGTTATAGTATCGCATTTAAGAAATCCTTTTGGTACTGTTTTGCATTTACATCTGCCTTTGATTTTTCTAGGTTGCCTCGGTTCGCTATAGTTCCATTTACCATTCTTTTTCATTCTTCCGCAATAATTCCTCCCTTTTTCCCTCAACAGTTTATTTTTTTCGGCGAACCACGTGGATTTATTCACCTCGAACCTTTTTTTACGTTTAAAACTTTTTTTTGGATAGTCGAATGAGAATTTGACGACATCTCAGAGTCCGAGTGTTCCGAATATGAAACCAATCCTCTTGTACTTTAGTCAGAGTCGGATAAAGTTTCACTTTCCCCATGGCGCTCAGATATAATATTTGTTGATATAGCCTCATCAGCTTTATCGGTCAAACTTTCTGGAGGCACGTGATTATTATTAATATTGTTAGTGGTAATAAAATCGCACACACTGTCTGTAATAGATTCTTTATCACATATTTGTTGTGAAAGTTGATTTTTGTCACTAGATATTTTGCATTGGCTCTTACTGATGTTATCCAAACACATACCCTCTGAAATATCCACTATTTCGAGTTCAACGTTTTTCACAATTTCCATTTGTAAATTCTCGATAGAAAACAGGCTAGCAAGGTCTACATCTGTATTTGGATTTTGAACTCCCAAGTCATCATCAGACTTCATTTGTGGATCAATGGAACTAGCTGTAGTAAGAACATCTTCTGAGAAGATGTCTTCTATTCGCGCCATTTCTACTATTCTTCGGGATCGGGACATCCTGAAAGAAATAAATCAACTATAGAAAAACTGCTATCTCCATTTGAAAATAGTTCTGAAATAAAAAGAATAACTGCTATCTCCATAACAGCTTGAGCTATAAAATTTCTGAATAAAATAATGCTTTTTATAACTTTTAAACTCTGGAAGTTTATTTAAAAGTTCTACGTACTCACCTTAACAGTTTTTTCACCAATTAACAACAAACACTTATTAAATAACACTAATTTGCTCGGCAAACGGCAACAGCATGTTAACTTTGCACGTGTTCCAACAAAACTAACGTCTTTCTATGGAGATAGCTGATTTTCGGCGTAGAAAATATGAAATAGTTGGTTAGCAGTATTTCGCGCGGTCGAAATTGACTAGTTCTGACTTGAAATGAACTTGTCTGTTTTTCGGACACGATGCGCAAAATAATAATAAATTGAACTGCATTTAAATCTCATTTTAGGTAAAAGTGGAGATAGCAGGTTAACACTCTTAGCCAACGATATGTTAGTTTTATTAAAAGTATGTATATGGATTTGTAAAACAAGTGAGACATACATTTTTTATTTTTATATATTTTTATCGCTTAAATTATTAGTATATTATTTAACGAGCGGTTATGACCATTACCGCAAGTTGAATACTATACTTTATCTACGACTATAACAATAAATACTAAGATACAAGTATCGAGAAAGAATTATATAATTGACTAGATGATAAAAATGTTTGAATCTTTGTAAAACTATTACCTTTGTCGACAGATATTTCTCATCAGGAGCTTCATTTATGAAATTATTAAGTTGTTCTGGCGTAAATGTTTTTGCCTTTTTAGCTATATGTTTTTCTGATTGACGTTTAAGAATCGCACGTAATTTTGAATAATTCTCTATATTAATTCCATTATTTATGTTGAGTGTGCTTCTTAGCAAGGAGTAGAAAGTCCATAGAAATATGCCAAAGGTACATTTTCTGTAAACGAGTTACACCAATATTGAAAATTTTAGTATACACTTTTATACTTGATTTTTGATTTTTCTGGTAATAAATTCTGTATTGCATTATTATAGCTATCTCTCTTATTTCTGGAGGAGTACATAATAACTCATCGTCACTATCTAAATTCATCTTTTTTAGCTCTATTATTAGAAATTGATTTGAAAACGTCAAAATTATCTTGTTAAAACATCAAATGACATTACTCCCTTCAATGCAATAATTGACGGTTCCGCCTACTGAGAGGCGTTGACAATTTTAAAATCTTTTAATAATTAAAGGAATGAATAATTATTATTATTCATTCCTTTCCAGTTGTTAAACAATCTTTTTAACATTTTACGCCAATGGAACATTTATCGACTTTAAAATTTCCAAGAATTTACTGCGCACACTATTTACATACCGAATTATCGTATGAGCCCCGCGTGAGTTATAATAACTCACTGTTAAAACTCACGCTATTGGTTTATTGATACTATTAATTGCTCAAAAGCAGTTGAATAATTTTTTTTTTTTTTTTTTCGATTTATGGCCTAGGTGTATATACCTAATATGCCAGTCTCAAATTTGTGTTTAAATTCTCAATCATGTGTGTTCTGTGTAGGCTTTGTTACTGTTTCCCAGCGCCACTTTAGGAACAGCACTGTTAATTAGAACCCAACAGTGAATGGCCGAGTGGGGAATCCTACCAAGGCATCAGAATTAATTTTAAATAATTAAATTAAATGAAAAAATTCCGGCCAACGGTGGGATTCGAACCTGGGACCCTTGGATCCACAGGCACAGGCTCTAACCACTGAGCCACCCACCCCCCCGTTGAATAATTAATATATACATTAATAGGAGTAGATAAAAAAAAATTAAGTAATTAATTAAATAACAAGACTCCAGTAACGAGTTAGACAGGGGGGTAAGACTTATGGTGCTCACTATATTATATATTAATAAGATTAATTTAGTTAGTAGTGGGTAAACATTATGACCAAAATTTGGGAACTTTCCACTGGATATTTGTTTAGATTCTCCTATTAAGGAAATTAGAAATGGAATAAGGTCAGACCAGTGGTGGCTCGTGGGTTTGAATGTAGGTGACGCGTTGAAAATAAAACTAAAAAAAAAATCATTTGTTTTTTAATTTTTTGTACATAAGGTCGATTTTCCTATCCTTTAAACTTGCAAAAGTTCATTTAAGAGTGTCTTTTTAATTGAAATTTTTGCTAAATTGGTAAGTCGATCTTCTGTTATTGTATTTCGTAGATATGTTTTAATTCGTTTTAAACAAGAAAAACTACGTTCGACTAAAACACTAGTGGATGAAATAGTTAAGATTAAGCAATATACCTTAGAAGCTTCTTTGAAAATATCACGATTCTCAAATAGTTGTTCCAACAATTTATCGATGTCAAATCTTGATTGTTTTCTAAAAGCACCGGGTGCCCAAATAAGAAAAGACGCCGCTTGTTGTTAGCTGTAAGACACGGTTTGTATCTCAGAAACTATGCGCAGAATTTTGAAAAAAAAAAAGTCAACGTACGACTGGTCAAGATAAATCGATGGAAATCATTTTCGAATTCGAAGTTTGCAGCTTGCTTACGAAATGCGTATGATCAGTGATACACGAGTGTGTAGTCAAAATTGATTAAAATTACGTGCCGAATATGATTTTGATATGTTCGACATTTGTCTTTTGTTTCGCACAGAATGTGCAGTAAACACTTCACCTTGTGTTTTAACACTTTAGTGAATGGTGACAACTTTGAACATATTATTTAAGTTAGACATGACCGAATTTGATACATTTTAGAATAAATTAAAGCAAGTTTCTTATTTTTGAGTTTTGTTGAAAAAGTTGTTTATTTTAATGACGTCTATACATAGTTAAAAAAGCCTCAACTTAATATTCATCCATATTTATAGGTATTTGTTACATATCTAGTGTTATATAATCGAAGCTCTCAGTTCTATATACCTTTTCATTCAATCAAATCAATTTGCAAAAAACTTTTTCCACTCGCGAGATGATATTTTATTGTATCTACAATTTGAGATTTATAGATGTTAATTAATTGTTTTCAGTGTTTCGCGCTTGAGTTTTAAAAATGATTTGAAATAACATACCTCTGAGAACTCTCCTTCTGGAAGTTCTGATCCAGTTCATCATCCGGTAGTTCTTCGTCTTTGACTTCTTCGTGCTCGGTGGTTCGTTGAGTTTCGGTCACGATTTTACCATCTTTACGGATGGAGCTCAGCTCCCTTGTATCTTCGGTATCGGTAGTTTTTTTGCTCTTTTTGGTATCGAGAACTAATCTAGGTCCTGTGGAGACAATTTGGTGACCTCCTTCTTGCGTTCGTAACACCTTCCGGAGGTCAGAGTGGCCACTATTTACGGCTGCTAGGAAGTCCTGAAACAAAATTTATTAAGTTAATATTTATTATTGTAGGAATATATTTTTTTGAGAGTTTGCAAATAATAAAAAATTAAGAGATAATAAAATGGTTCAATATATCCCGATAAATCAGATATACAATGTAAAGATGGCACTAATTAAGATACAAGGTACCCCAAAATTATATAGTGTAAGCGCTAGAGTTGATAATACTTCTAAAAATGAGGGTACCTTTCCATATACAATTTTTCAAAACTTCTTATTAAGGTAGACATAATCCCCTAAAGTCTAAAGAATTCTAAAGGCAAAATAATTTATTGTAGATATACTCGGGATATACTAACAATTGTTTGGTAACTTTGACAGTAATAAAAAATGTGCATCCTTTTTATCACATAAAAATTCCTGTTTCTCAATACCAAAGTACACCTATAATCTAGAGAAGAAAAAAGTGCAGTAATTTAATTTGCAGAACGTGGTACAGGTTCAATAGGTAGAAATTTTATTTATACCTCATCCTTCAATGCTTACTTGTAGTTAAAGTGAAAATTTTAATACATCTGATCGGCCTAATAAAAGTTTTCGTTTAGATTTATTCAAATTTCCATGGTATTTACTGTAATAAGTCAAATTTTATTTATTCATAGCCTTATTCGAAAAAGCCCCAAGCAAATACAGGTATTTTATTTAGATGAAACATGGGTTAATGGTGGACATACAGTAACAAAAATTTGGCAAGATACTTCCATCAAAACTAAATAACAATCCTTTATGGAACGGATCTCTTGTGGAATAAAAAATCCAACAGGAAAAGGAAATAGTTTAATAATAACCCAAATTGGAAGCACCAATGGATTTTTGCCGGATTGTTTATTAATGTTCGAGTCAAAGAAAACAAAAGACTACCATGAAGAATAGGATGGCCCTATGTTTTGTAACATTTTAAAAGTCCAGTTAAAAATGTTATTTTAAATATGTGCCATCCTGTATAAATAGTTTTCGATTAATTTAAATTCAATTATCGCCGCATGCAATATTCCAAAGAAAGGGAAATTTCTTGAAGTGGGAGTACAGTAAACCAAACGAGTTTATAATTGTCACTAGCTTTCAAAAATAAAAAAAAGAGAATTATTGGTGCCCAACATTTCCTAGAAAATTATTACCCCAAAGGTGTCTATTAGAAAAGCCAAATTCACAACAGAAAAATATGGTCAATGTGCTCATTTATTTCTTTTAATTTTTAAAGGTAAGTAATGTTTGATATTAAATTTCACTGAGCTAGTAAAAATCTCTTATAAGTGTTTTGAAATTAACATTTTATCACAAGGCAACGTAATATATTTCAAATTGGCACTGCAACGCACCAAGTTATATTACAAATTGGCGCCCAACGACGTCAATACAATATTGCAGTTTGAAAATTGGTTTCAGCACATGTTAAAAAAAATCCAGTCAACTCCGTTATTGTTTTGGAAAATTCATCCTATCATAGTCGATTAAAGGAGTCACTACCTACAACAAGATGGAAAAAAGAGGATATTTCATTATGACTTATTCTAAAAATACTATCAGTCCTCCTAAATCCTTGAAGACAGAATTATTTGTAATAGCAAAGCAACAAAAATTTAAAAAAATATATTATAGACGAAATGGCTCGAGAAAACGGAATTGAAATTCTCAGATTGAGTTAAATCCCATTGAACAGATCTGGTCACAATTAAAAGATTATGTTTCTCGAAACAATACAACATTTAAATTACCTTGCGAAATTTGTTTTAGAAAGCAGTTTCAGATGTAAATGAAGAACATTGGAGAAAATGCATTGATCATGTTAAAAAGGTGGAAAATTTATTTTGGAAAGTGAATATAGCAATGGAAAACTTAATAGACCCTATAATAATTAACCTCAGAAAAGACGATGATAATGAGACCAGTAGTTATAGTTAAAACAGTGACTTTTAAAGATAATTCTTAAACTTTTTAGGTGTAACTCTTAATGCCAAGAGAATAAAAAAGTTAAATCCCATTAACATCATATAATCCTCCTTGTTATTTATTGATTAAATTTAAATCGTTCAATGTTAAAGTGTAACAACAATTTTATCAGAAGCATAAGGTTTATTTTTATTTTTTGTAAATAATATATTTTTTTTATTCAAAATTTAATCTGCAATGTGCACATATACCATTTTATATGCCCTGACCATATTTATATTATAGAAACTTATTATTCAAAGTACGCCTATGGAATATGACGTTATATCCCCACTTTTACTGCACTTATCTTTTATTTAGACTATAGTCGTGAAAATTGTAATAGTCACTGTATATTTTTTATTTATGCCTCACTTTCTCCTCTGCCTGACACTTTGTGGTTTTTATTAACTGACTTCAAAAAAGGAGGAGGAGGTTCTCAATTCGTCGAAATGTATCAGCGATAATTCTTTATCAGGTTGTCCGATTTTTATGATTCTTTATTTGTTAGAAAGGGGGTACCTCAGTGGTGGTCTCATTTACATTTGGTCAAGATTTGATAATGGGATGCATGATAAAATCATCAAACTCTTAATTTTTTATGTAGGTATATTCAGTGATAATTCTTTACCGCGTTGTCCAATTTCTATGATTCTTTTTTTTTTGTTAGGAAGGGGTACCTCAGGCGTGGTCTCATATACATCTGATGATGAGATCTATGAGAAAATCAGCAAACTTAATGCACGATTTTGGAGTCGGTTTTTTAAAACTACTTTTTTAACTTGTATTTCTTTAATAATTGTTAGTTGTACCTGGACGATGAAACAGCATAGTCAAGGAAGTAATAGTCACTGTACATTTAACTTTTACTGCTGTTTAATACATTTTTTGCTTTATTAATATTATTTTATTTTGTTCCAGATAAACCTCTTCAAAATATTAGGAGCGATAATACGGTATTCTAGAAAATAAAGATCGTGACTTTTCAAAGCTAATTAACACACTACATTTATATTGAATTAGTAAGTTTTTTACTTTAATCAATTATTGCTTCGATTATGCTTTTCTAATTTTAGTATATTAATAAGATATTTAAAACTTGTAAGATTAGTTCATACACCTCGTTTTTTGCTTTATTGTAGTAAATATAATTTTATTATTACAATAAAGCAAAATCCAAAGTAGTACGACCAAATTCTTAATTTGACTACCAACTTTTATCTTTAGTAATTTTTACTGACAATTTTGAATGCTCCCGTGTTTAGTATTTTCAAGGTGACCGTAAGATGACGTCACTTATTTCCAAATAGTTCAAAGAATATCCACTTTGACGCTGCAATACTATTTAACCATGAGGAAAGCCATTGCCCTGTGGAGCGGGAAGATAGAATGGGTTCATCCGGGCATTTACGATCGGGGTGGAAGAAGCCCACCAAATGGCCATTTTCCAAAAATGGCATCCAAAGACACCTCTCGGCGATGTTATTAACCTGCAGAACTCTGATCTAAGAGGCTTGCTATTCCTAGACACTACCAAGCGACAACCAGAAGATTTTTTATGAATTAATAACCTGTAGGATCTTGTGTGTAGACACCCCTCAGCATCAACCAGCAGGTTTTTCAGAAGTTGAGGAGCTGGGAGTAGGGAGCAGGTCTTGTCAAGTTGAGAGACGGGTTCTATATGTCTCTGGAGGGCTTAAGTTCTGTGAAGCAACCCACCCTTCCCATCTTAGATCAGGGCCAACTAGAGGGGGGGGGGGGTAGCCGGAGCCCGGGCTTAAATAGGGGCCCGGCAGCGCTGTAAGGGGGGCCCGACAACTGTTTTTTTTTTGTTTTTGTTGAGAGGGAAGTTTAGTTTAAGGATCTTTTTTTTTAGAAGAGTAATTAAAGTAGGGAAAAAGATTTTTTGATGTGATGACCTTTTTTAGGAGAATAGTTTTTTGATGTGAGGAACTTTTTTTTTTAGAAAAAATTCTATTTCAGTAGGAGAGGAACAGTTTTTCGTTTTTTTGTCACGGGGCCCGATCTAGAGAATTGTCCTGGGGCCCGGCCTGGCTCTCGGCGGCCCTGTCTTAGATACAGAGGTGGGAGATGCCATTCTAAAAGTAGGTGTTCTATGTCAGCACCATTGACGAACAAGTACTAGACTAATTTTGTTTACAAAAAAAGGAATTGCAAACATTCACAGTGGTTGCCACATTATCCACGTGTATGTCAAATTATTATGATAGAGTATGGGAGAGTCTTGTTACAACGATTGTTTATAATTATAATTCGGAATTGACTTAATACAAGGCTCTAAAACGCACAAAAGGCTTTCAAAATTACATTAAGAAAGTATATTTGTCTTCCTCAAGCTAGTTATTATTAGTTTTATGTATTTATCTCGTTGAAAATATTATAGTAGAAGGTATTTTCCAGTAAAGTACACAATTTTTTTAAAGTGTGACAGCAGTGTAAAGCAAGCGTCGTAGTCATAAGTACTGATTCATTCATAAAAGGCGTACTCGCCCGTCAGATAAACAAATTTGCACAAACAATCCTCATTCGAATTAGCAGTAGTCTCGCTCTTTCTAATGCCGCAGCCGATGCGACAGCTCTGTTTGCCTAACATAAAACTACAATCTAAATACTTGTAATAAATAAGGGCTTAATTATGAATGAATAGATTAGTCTAGTAGTTTTTCGTCGTTGATCAGCACCCTCGAAAACAGTATATAAATCACAGAAAAATAAATCTCCATTTTTTGCCGTCACTTGTGATATGCCTCAATGTATTACTGAACTAAATTCTAGCTATACACTTTATTCATTTGATTATAATCACTATTTATTCTAAATTTTTAATTAGAAGCAATTTTTATTTTTATGATTTATGATTATATTGTATACAGGATGCTCCATTAGTGCGCAATTGTTCAATATTTCAATTTGTGTTATACATATGCAAACAAGTTTTTAAAAAAAATATATGTGGATTTAAAAATATTTTTGAATATACAGGGTTTTAAAATGTTTTAGTAATACTGTCTTCAACCCTA